AGCCGTAGAGCTGCACACTTCAACACATCCATGTGCTAAACCTCCTGAATTGCACCTTCTTGGATGTAGAGAAAGATTAATGTTAAGATGATAAAGAATCATGAGATCATTTCTCCCAACTGTGCCCACAGCCTCTCGCAGCTGAAACCTTGCATACAAAATGTTGTCTCCACGTGGGTCTGGAGTGGCTGCCTCCCTGCTGACCGCAGCAGAAAATGGCTGGCTAATTCCGACTTCACAGCCTGCCTGCATTTCAACTGGCCTCCCTCCTCAGGGACCCGTCCCTGGGAACAATGAAAGAGGAAGGGTAATTGGCTGATCGACATGAGAACAATATCCTAAACGGGGTTTGGGGAACTCAGAGGCCACAACACAGACCCCTCATCACCTTCATTCTGCTGCTGTCTGATGAAAATTCAAGCCCATCTATTGAACATTGTCATGATACTTTAATAACCTGGGCTTGGCGCATTATCCTATTTGAAAGAAAACGCGTTCTGGAAACTAGGCAATTTTTTTTTTTTTTTAAACCTGTTTCTGTGAGGAGGATATACTTAAATTTGTTTCAAAGAAAGTTGATTTACTGCAGGGAGGAAATGGCCTGTTAGAAGCTGGACTTAGGCCAAGGACCGTCTCATGGCAAGGGCAGTGAGCACGGTCAGGACCAGATGGACAGGCTCTGCCCACAGTGCTGCTGAGGATGGCAGCAGGGAGGACAGGGGCCAAATGACGCAGCTGACAAGCACGCCCTAGGCGCCACGCCACAGGTCTTCATCTTGACTCTGCGCTCTGCCTTGCCTGGCACAATCCTGTCCTGCTTTCAAAGGCTCTTAACCTTTCCTCAAACCACCTCCTTCGAAGTGAGCGTCTCAGCAATGAGTATGGAGGACAGTGAGGCCAGCGAGCCTGCAGGAAAGGGAGCCTCTGATCCGACCCCATTTAACCCAACGGCCAAGCGCACTGCCTGCGAGTCCTGAGCGCCACTGCAGACAGGACCACCCCGAGCACCCGGCGAGCAGCCCGGGAGGCAGCCACGCAGCAGGGAGGCAGCGGACAGCCCCCCTCGACGTGCCCCGCAGGCTCGTCTTCCTCCTGCTGGCCAGTTCTGTCCGTGGGCAGGCGCAGGGTGTGTTCCCACAGACCCACACAGGTGTGCTCACATTTTCTACAGAGGTTTTCTTTTTAGGGCTGAAGTATGAAAATAAACAGTAACCTACTAGGCATCAATAACCATTTAGTCTGTATCTCTCAAATCACAAGAATCCAAAAAGGTATTCACCATACCACACACAAAATCTGCGATCAGAAAAATCTATGACCCCTGAATAGTTACTTTCTTATTTCCAGGATACCAAGGGAACTTTTATTTAATAAATGCACACTTAGACCATTAAAATGAATTGTGAAAATAAAATTTTTCATCCAAAAACCAGCCTATTACATGTGAACTGGGCAATAAATGTAATTTTAATTAATGAAATATGAATGTAATGTGATCTGAAACGAATTACTGACATATTCTTCCCTGTTGTTCAAATAAGCAGAAAGGGATGCAAAGAACCTGGGCTCTGAAGTAAGAAGACCACCCACAGGGTTGCCCTCATCTCCACCACTCCTGAAAATAGCCCACTCTTCCTGAGCCTCGGCGTCTCAGGAGCACACAGACAGGAGGACCGTCTCCACCTGCCTCCCTCACACAGTCAGTGAGGATCACTGCTGCCCTACTAGAAATGGCCATTATTAGCAACATTTTGGTTCATATGTAGCTGCAATGATGGAGGACCTTTGGAATTAAAATAAATACCTAATTCTCATGTTATAAATAATGGCTCTTCTATACTCTGTGGGCTCCTATCGTAATAATCTGTTGGTTTGCATATACTTATTTTACTTAAAACACCTGCCAATAAACTCCACATTTCAACTTATTGAGGCAGAAAATGCTCCACTGGAAAACAGCAGCCTATTAGTAGCAGTCAGACTCTGCACCACTCTGTCCTGTGCTCCACGCTGGAGGACACCTGCTGCGAGTGGACACGCACGCGGGAGCCAGCCTCTCACACCGACTCGGAGGCTCTCTTCCCACTGCCTGGACTGCTCTACTTCTCTGTTAACTGCGCTTCCTTGGCTAAGGAAAAGGCACAGCCTTGGAGAAAACCTGATGGCCCAGGGACACAGGGTCACCATGAGTGTAAACCAAGGAACACAAAAGACCGACCGACTTCAAGACAGTGGCCCAGAACTCTAGTCATCACACCCACAGTGGCTTCTCAGGGACGTGCGGTTTCTGCCCACGGGTGTCCTGCACCTGCACTGCTCGCCCCCAGGGTGCTGCTCTGTGGCGGGGAGCAGCTCCTGCTGACTGGCTCTGCGCAAGCCTAGCGGCTGGTAAGACAGCAGTTTGGTGCGTGAGGGTATAAACCAGGAGACCGACAGATGTATGCCTTTCAAAGCCTTATTTTACTAACTTAGACGTCGACAGGAGTGTGATCATGTAAAATGAGTGTTCTATCAACAAAGCTGTACAGGCCCTTTGATCTAGACTCTTTCGGAAGATTCTGACCCTGGAGGTTTATGAAATAGCTGGAGTGTAATCCACCTGGAATAGCTCCAAATGATACTGGCTAAGTGGGGTCTTGGGTCAACTGTTCGTGGGGCTCCTCCAGGCAATCCTTCTCCCTACAATGGAGAAACGTGGAGAACCAGCCTCCAGGATCCAGGTTCTGGAGTGATTTCTTCTGAGCTGGGGGTACTTTCCTTTGACTAAGAAACAAAGCGAGACTTTGGTGGCCCCTGCAGAGCACTCGCAGCCACAGAACCCCAGCAAAGGGCACACCTTGTGGGCCCGCCTGTGCTGAATGGCTCCCGGGTGTAGGAGCACACGAGGCTCTCTGAGGGGGATGCCACCACACTCTCCTGCGAGAGACCCAGCTCAGCGACCCCACAGCAGGGGCTCCTCCAGTACTTCCAGGTGATTCCCTTCGCGTTCACGGGATAGATCTTTCGGGAAGGTGCCTACCTGGGGATCAGGATGTGAAGTATGAGTCCTGAAACCAGGAACCTGACAGATGATGATCTCTTAATGGGTATTTGCTTTCTGGAACCTTCTTCCTAACATGCTTCAGGTTCAAACTCCATGTCTGCTGAGTACTGGTCACATGCCAGCTGGGTCCTGGGACTAGACATTCTGGGGCCCATATGATAACCAGGCAGTGGTTTGCTTCACGGTGCTACCACACCTCCATTTATTATGCCCACTCACTTGAATTTTCTAAAAAATGGTCATCCGTTTTGATTTGCTATCCCACTTTTAAAAAGTTATGTTCTAAGTCAGAATAAAGAAGCCCTACATAGTCTGTAAAACCATTTCAGTCATGCTGACTACTTTTTGAAAATGTGGCATTTTGTATCTTTCAAAGCAGATTATTTAAAGTATGACCCTAATTAAACTGAAATTGGAAGTTGAACTCCAGCAATGAAGAGCAGAACCTGGAATCTGGTTAAGAGTTCAATGACACACACAGACCACCCTCTCCTCCATGAGCCCAGTGCATACACGAACGCCCCTGACTTCAAACAGGAGTGCCTACCACTGTCCAGCAGCACGGGAATATGACAGAGCGACATTTATGCCGCTTTGTAGTAGCATGGTCAATCACAATCATTAGTGAGCCCCAACAACTTGTGATTTTATCCATAACTACACACATTTCAGACGCTGTCCAGAAACAATTCGCCAAACTGGCCCGTCTCTAACTTCCCAATTTCACTGCAGAGCTGCTGTCTCTAACCCTTTGATGGCAGCTCCCTTTAGGGGCACCAGGGCCATATGGTGCCTCTGTCTGTTTGTCCTACCTGATCAGGCCGTCTTCACACCACACTTGGCATGATCACAAGAACCAGCACCTTGGGAGACAGAATTTCAGTTGGTGAAATGTGTGTGTGGGTGTGTACATGCACCTGGATATGTCTGTATGTCTATGTGCAATGAGTGGTAACTTGTCTTCACAGGGAATCTCAGCCACTGTGACAAGCTGGGCGGTTTCACGAGACTCAGGTTTCCCAGAACAAACATCGTGATTCTGAAGGAGGAAAGCCAGCTTCTCCTGCCACTTGAGACCAGCACGACCGCCTGACCCTCCTGATCTAAGCTCGCTCATCCACTGGCTCACACAGCCATCTTCGGCCCTGAGACAACACCGTCCCCGAGCTCGGATTCCTGAGCAGCTGAGCCCATGGAAGAGGCGTGAGAAAAAATATTCCCTTTGCTTTCAAAGATGTTTTGGCATTTCTCTGAGGAAAACAAAGACTCTTCAGAAAACTTCCACTTTCTAGAGAAGAAATGACCTTTACGAAAGGTTTCGTTTTGAAGTTGTGTTTGAGTCTGACACTAACAGAAACTGCAGACCGAACGGTCACCTGGACAGGCCCTGGGCAGCAGCTCCTGCTGTGCCCATCCCCGCAGCGCCAGGCCTCGGGCAGCACCCGTTCCACATCGCAGCAGAGATGGCTCATCGGTCAGTCCAGGTCAGGGACGCCCTCCCTCCAGACAGGCACAGGCACTGAAGGAGGCTCCGCAGTCTCCCCAGTGGATCCCACAGCGCCCACCCCGGGTGGCGTGTGGACTAAGCACCCTACAGCACTATTTCTGCCAGTAACTGCACCTCTTGACAGAGCATCCACGAACATGCAAAAGGAACAAGCAGGTGTGCGGACGGAACTTTCTGGGTAAGGTGGCTGAGCTCATCACACTGGGAATGTCTCAGAAAACCTCAGTGAGGACCAGACTGGGTAACGACTCAAGTGGAATAGAATCTAACATCTGACACAGTTGAAAGGAATTCTTGATAAAAGAAGTTAAAGACGGGTAAAGGCTAACTTTCCACACTGACCAGAAAGGCTTATTTATGTGGCAATCATGAATGTATCGTGAATGTCGACTCAGGAATTCTCGCTGGAGAACTGGCCCACTCAGCAGGCTGCAGATATTGAGAGATTACCATTCTCCTCCTCGTCCTCCTCGTCCTCCTCATCATCCTCGTCGTCCTCCTCGTCCTCCACATCCTCCATGTCATCGTCGTCGTCGTCGTCCTCCAGCTCCTCCTCCTCCTCGCGGTCCACCTCCTCGTCCTCGTCGTCGTCTTCCCTGGGCTCGTCTTCATCCTCAGAGTAGTCCTCCTCCTCCCCGTCCCCCTCCTTGTCCTCTGTCCCGTCGCTCTCGTAGCAATCGTCCACAGAGGAGCTGTCCGCTTTCACCGAGAACGGTGTCCGCTTGGGGGCAGGCCCCTGGGGCTGTTTATCTTGTGTTTTTCTTTTCTTGGCCAAGGGGCAACCATACACACTGTTGAGAGAGAGAGAGAGAGAGAGAGAGAGAGAGAGAGAGGTGAGCTGTGTTATCGTCTTTGAGGATCAGAGCATCAGGACTCTGGATCAAGAGAGCTAAGGTTTGGCATGACCACCCGTGTACAAAGGCCAGGGTCTAGGCACACACGTGCTCACACGTGTGCCCAAACCTGCTGGGACACTTTCCCAAGAAGCCTAGGCTGCACTCATCTGCTCACCACCACCATCAGGTCTGACCCCCAGCTCCCTAGTACTGTCCTTCCACACAGCAGCCTGCCATTCCTATCCACCTAGGAGGCTGCTTCATGGAGCTCTCCATAATGCCATGCCACTGACAACACAGGTCCAGTGATGTACAACTGAAAAGAATGAGCTCATGCACTATAAAAATATATGTTGTGAAACAGCTTTGGATGCATTTGGATCTGTATATTCTTTGGACATAATGACATCTCTATACATAATGACCCACCATGCCAGCCAATGAGAGCACCACCCAATTCACACTCAGGCCAACATCAGTCCTGCTCCAGCACCACAGAAACGAACTCTGTTATTGGCAGTCACCACTCAGTCATGCTGGACTTGCCCAGACCTGGGTAAGACCTTCACAGCAGGATTTCACAGCTGTTCTATGAACAAAGGCCGTTGTCCAAAACTATGCTGATTGCAGGCTGGGAACCCCATGTACACACTGCCAGGACCACAGGGAAAGACAGAGGAGCCAGTGTGCTGTGGGCACGTTGCACTGGTCTGGACCTAGATGCGTGGCCTCACCGCTCAGTGAGTATCTGGGAGAGATTCTCATGGCCTCTGAGCTGACATGAAGACCTGGTCATGGTGAAACCTGTTGGCCACGACCTTGTCCAGTGCACATCAGTCTGGGAGCCTCCTCCAGGCAAGTCTCTGTGCGATGCTGGAGTCAGGGGTGGGTGGAAGGCACAGATTCTCAGCTTGCAGCACCTGGGACCCACGGGGACTCAGACAAGGCAGCACACCGTGCACATCCCGTCCTCCTGCTCGCCACGGTGCCCGAGGGCCTGTCACGGGGTAGGCACTGCTGAGCAGTTGTTGAACGAATGGATGATGTGGGGCAAACGTCATGATACACACACGCAGAGGGTGTACTGTCATAAGGAACAAGGACGGCTAGTCAAGGGGCCCAGGGAGTCCCCAGGAAGGGCAATGCTGGGGAGGGGCTTTGAAGGAGACACGCACAATGTGTGGGAGAAAAAGACTGTCGCTATACATGTCAAACAAACAGAACCTGAACAGACATGGACATGAGAGGGAGCATGGAGTTCCGGGACTAAATCAGGACAGAACACTGGAGTCGGGGGTGCAGAGGTGGGTGGGCGTGGGCGTGGGCGTGGGGGGCAGGGGTTGAGTGGGCAGGGCCAGGCCCCTGGGGACTAACTGTGGGCCTCCAGATCCCCATGCAGGAGCAGGGAGTGTTAGAGGGCGCAGTCACATATGCGTGTGAGGACATGAGGGGGTAGTGGAGGGGAGACTGTGACAGAGAGCAGCACGCAGGCTGAGCCTCCAGCCTATGAGACACCAGGGTAACTGTCACCTCTCTTAAAAATAGTCATCAAAGCAAGAATAATACTTAATATAACCAAAAAAACTGAAAACAAATACTGGTATACATGGTATTTCTAATATGAAAGAAACAGAATTCAGAGATTTATGCAAATTTTTACATGTTTCGAGGGGAACCCAAGTCAATAATCTCAGAAGCATATGCACAGCTTATTGGTCAGGTCTCAGTCCCACACCAACCGCTCTTCTCACAAGACGGTCCTGGATCTGACCCAACTTGTTAATTTGCTCACTCTGTGTCTGTCCAGGTGATGTTAGTAACTGCAGCAGTAAGTGTGCGTTTCTGCTCTGCGAGGGTCTGCCCCTGCCTCTGTGAGTCTTGACGCCTATGGACACGTGCCCATAGCTCCTGTCTTCTCACCCATCTATCTATCTATCGACTGTCTGATGCATCTCTCCCGCATCAAAACTGCCCGCACAACAAGCACTGTCTGCTGCCACGGTGACCAGGACCGCCTTCCACCACCAGATGCACCCAGGCTGCTGGGAGACGATGACATGTCCGCTGACTCGATGCTCCTCAGTAATGCTATTCAAAGCCCCTCTTCAATTTGGCAGGGGGCCTTCTACAGAGCACACAGCCAGCACTGCGGTGGGACTGTGTCTGATACATTCCTCTCAGCCATACACACGTAGCTTCCTGAAATGTCAAGAGGGCTCACGTGTTGCTCAGACCTTACGTGGCTGGGGCTGCCAAGCCCAGAGCATTAGGACGAACACTGTTCTTCTGTCTCACTGGGTCAGTGTACTTCCTGGCCCTCCCTTCTGCAAACCATTGGATTCAGTCTCTCAACTGTTTGGAAGCAGCTGCTCGCACACGTCCGGTGTCTTCTGCCAGCTCACATGCTTTGACGCTCCAGGTCTCTCCTCCATCCACTAAGGTGAACTGTACACAAAACCGTCCTCCAGTCACAGACAAGCCCGTTGCCCCTGTGTGACCCCTTCTCACTGACTGCTAGTCAATGTGACAACACCCAAGCCCTTTCTACCCGTTAGACCTCACAGGGCTCAGGGGCCTGCTTGAGTCCATGGTGCATCCTGGGAAGCGAGACTCCGGGTTGGCACCTTAGAAGGCAAGTCTGGGGCATGTGTTTAGAGAGTGTGGACCCTCCTAAACCCACGTTCTGTGACCCCCATGTGCGATGAGGTGGTCAGTGACTAAAGGAGAGAATTTCCCTCGGAGAAGAGTGGGTGCTGCCCCCTCCAACTGCAGGTGCCGGCCAAGCCCACTTTCATCCCTCACATAGCTGCCACTTGCCCTCATTTGCCTCCTGCATCCCATGCTCACCACCACCGCACTGCCTGCAGCCGTCCCCTGCTGGCCCCTTTACCCCCACCTCAAGTTCTTTCTTCCCTGAGTCATTCCTGTTCGGTCTAGGATTCTGGGTCCTCTACCTTTAAGAACTCTGTACCATTCTCAAGAAAGATAAAAAAATGGGCAATAAGCACATGAAAAAAAAAACTTTTTTAAAGGTGCCTAGAACCTTGACAACAAAACAAAGCACCTTCATTAGACACTGAGCATCGCTTCATAATCTGCCTTGTTATTGTTACTTTCTCGTATGTGCTCATTTTATCTCAAGTAACTATTTCCACCCTGGCCTCCAGAACCGTGCCATGGGAGTAATCACTCTAAACTCCCACCTGCCAAGTGAAGGCATGAGTATTCTGCACCCTGGCTCCTGCTGGTTGGTGATTCTGACACTTTGGTATGGGCCCACCTGTCCTTAGATCTGGTTCGACCAGCATCTGGCTTTCAACACAACGTGTGCTGTCTCCTCTCTGACTACAGAACATTCACTACCTGCCATTTACACACAAGATCCTGACAGTGTAGGATAAAATGACCCCAACAATCTACGTCTTGGCAATAAAAGTGGCAAATTAAACTGCCATAAAATATACTTAGACGCTTTCTCTTTTGGCTGAAAATCGCAGATGGCGTCCAGGGTTTCCTGAGCTAGTTTACTCTGAGCTCGTGACTTTTGTGCTAGGAGACACCACTGAGATAATGTCCCCAGAACGACAGACTCTCGAGAAGAAAGGACCCTCAGAAAGCACTTTGTCCATCTTCCCATCTCGAAGAGAAGAAGCTAGGCCAGAGGGATGGAGTGACATGCCAAAGTCAGCACTGGGAGGCACCTCCCACCTTCAGAGCAAGAGCCTCTCAGCCTCGCTGCGCAGAGGTCAATGTGGACACAAACCAGAAAGATTGCTTCTCCTGGGGACCCACTGTGTGCTGTGTCCCTGCGGCTCACCGCGTCTGAAGCAGCTCACTCACTTCAGCTTAAAGGAACACGTCCAGAGAGAGAACTGCTGGAACCGAACACGCTGGTTAGACTGTCAACAGTGTTAGTTTCAAATTTATCTTTGTGGATATTTACAAGCTAACAACCCTCCCATCAGAAAGGTTCTAGGTCACATTTCACAGTGACAGCAGCACAGACTCTCTGGTCTGTATTAGTCTACAGAGAAACTCAATGCTGGAAGCAGCAGCTGTGACCACATCACCAGCAAGTGACGGGGCCACTTTGTACTGCTACCCGCACCTAGTGCAGCAGCAACACCTACTGCCATAGCAACACCTAATATTGTAGCAACACCTAATACCATATCAACACCTAATACTGTAGCAACACCTAATACCATAGCAACACCTAATACCACAGCAACACCTAATGCCATATCAACACCTAATACTGTAGCAACACCTAATACCATAGCAACACCCAATACCACAGCAACACCTAATGCCATATCAACACCTAATACTGTAGCAACACCTAATACCACAGCAACACCTAATACCACAGCAACACCTAATGCTATAGTAACACCTAATACCATAGCAACACCTAATGCCATAGCAACACCTAATACTGTAGCAACACCTAATACCACAGCAACACCTAATACCATAGCAACACCTAATGCCATATCAACACCTAATACTGTAGCAACACCTAATACCACAGCAACACCTAATACCATAGCAACACCTAGTACCACAGCAACACCTAATGCTATAGTAACACCTAATACCATAGCAACACCTAATGCCATAGCAACACCTAATACTGTAGCAACACCTAATGCTATAGTGACACCTAATACTGTAGCAACACCTAATACCATAGCAACATCTAACACCACAGCAACACTTAAGACTGTAGTAACACTTAATGTTGTAGTAACACCTAATACTGTAGTAATAAGCAATATTGTAGCAACACAATACTGTAGCTATGCTTAATACTGTAGTAATACTTAATACTGCAGTAACAGTTACTACTGTAGTAATAACACTGTACCAACATTTACTGCTATAGCTACGCTTAATACTGTAGCAATACAATCAAGATCCTGAAGTTACACCAACATACTACCCTGAATTAC